GATTCCCCACCCATTTGCACTCTGATTCAGGTGAGGATAAAGATAGTGGCCTCAAAGACTCTCAGGGTGCCAAAGTGAACTTCAGGGGGCTAGCAACTAGATGCCTGCAAAGAATACAGTACAAACCGTCCATTCCCTACCCGTTAGTACTGAAGCAGCTTCTCGGACGAAAGTAAATGTTTTCAAAGAAAAACAACAACGAAGTCCAGTTGCCTTTTGGAAAAAGCACCTTTGGAACAGCCATGATCCTGGATGACTGAGAATCTCCATGGACATTTCCTAACCAGTCTATTCTTCTTTCTTGTCTGAGCTTATACCAAAGTCTTCAGCCATCATGTAGCCACGTTCAAATTGACTTCTGTTGCTGTTAGCTGCTGTGCTAAACTGCTGACGAAACCTTGGCATTTTAATTTCTCACTGGGATGAGAAAGGAAAGGTGCTTCTCCGATTGCTGGCTGGCTTACAGCTTAGTGTTAACACTGGAATGTAAGAGCTGCTGCGTTCTGCTTCTCCTTTCAGCTTGTCCACTGCTGGTTTGGAGAAGTCGGTTGTTTGTTGAGCTGATGGATAATCCACTCCCTTGGCCGCAAAAGCTTCCTTTCTGATCTCCACACAACACATATCTTCCTCCACGCATCTTGTGCTCTCAGGTTTCTCCCCCCCACCCCCCGCCTTTTTTTTTAAACCTTGAAAATGGTGGGTGTGGTGCTTTTCAGGCTGCCTTTAGAGCAGTGGTGCAATTCATTTTTTTTTACTACCGGTTCTATGGACGTGCTTGGTGGGCATGACTTGGTGGGCGTGGCAGGGGGGACGATACTGCAAAATCTCCATTCCAACCCTACTCCTGGGAGAAGGATATTGTAAAATCTCCATTTCCTCCCCACCTCACTAACCTGCTTTCCAGCTCTCTTCTCCTGTGCAGGGCAACAAAAGAAGACCCAGATGATCAGCTGGGACTCAGGAGACAGAGAATAGATGGGGGCGGGGCCAGTCAGCCGGTTCTCCGAACTACTCAAAATTTCCGCTACTGGTTCTCCAGAACTGGTCAGAACCTGCTGAATACTACCTCTGCTTTAGAGTCCCAGGAGAGAAAACAAAGAGAAGGAAGATGCTGGCCATTGCAAGGTGTTCCCTCAATACCATCCCATTGAAATTTCAGACGGTTATCAAGATCTGGTTCTTTTGCAAGAATCTTGGGGATGACCCGGATGTATGAAAAATATGGTTCTTGAGGCATGGCTGCCTCATGGATTAGTGTCATATGCAGCATCTTCTCATCTAATTACAAGTTTAGAATGAAGCAACATAAAAGCTCAAATTATAGAGACAAAAAGAGCAAGAATGTGTTCACATTGTCCCCATAAAATAATACTGATCAGTCTTAACATTATATAAACCGTTACTTCATAAGCAGAGAGTATATACATAGCATCAGTCCAACATTGCAAGTCCCATTCATTCTATTGTAGTAAAAGTAATATTTTGCTATTGTAGGAAGCCCCCCGCCCCAGATTAAAATATTCTTTATTCTTAATATTAAAAAGAGACAGGATAGAATATTTCCCCCAAAGGAGAAAAATCTTAACAAAGGCAGAAAGCAGCCCCAGCCTTTCTGCCAGAGAAAAACAGCTTCAACCAAAGAAGCTTGAAGAGGCTGACTTTTAGGAATGCGGATTTTGCAGATCCATTCAGAAAAACTAACCAATCTATTCAAAAAACAAAACACCTTCAGCCATAGCTCCAGCTGATGGGAATAAGAAAGTACATCCCCCCACCCAAATTCTAAGGACAGGACAGGACCTTTAGGACATAATAGGATTAACTCACCACCACTGAAATAGTGAAAGACTCAAGGCTCACTAGATTGCACAAACCCCCCTGGAATGTTTCAATTACAAAACCTCAGAACCCTATAAAAATCCATCCACTCAATCAGCTATTTTGTCAGCCACCCCAGAAACATGCTGCTATCACCAAAGTTTCTGGAAACCAAATAAACAGCCTCCATTGATTCCCCACCCCTCCCCCCGGCTCCCAGCTTGGAACCAGGCTGAATTTTTCTTCCTACACTATGATCTGTAGAGTCACAATTCTTCAAATGATACTTATACTTATCTCAAAATATAAACTAAGAAAATTACTTGCAGATGAAAATCCTAAAGTTACAATGGCAACAGCCACGTTTTTAACTAAGGGTTTAAAAAATTTTTTAGTAACCAATCAGTTAGGATTTTAAATGTATTATGCAATATGTATTAAATATTTCATTTGTTAAACTGCTTTATCTAATGCCAATTTTAGATTGCATTTGCAACTTTAGTTTTGGATCATTGGGCTATAAATAAAATCAGTTGATTGATTGATTGCTGTGCATCAAAAGTAGGTTTTTCTGATATGGCTGAGCATAAGTTGTATTTTACTGAGCACAAATCCCATCACTGTGTGCTGTGTTGGCACAGCCTCTTCTCTTTTAGTCACTAGGTGCTTCCTATTCTCCATAGGTGTTCTTTTTTTAACAAATTCACCAGTGGAACAATGAAATGATGGGTTCCTTAGTTCAACCAAGTGAAATTGAAGAGTGCCATCACTTTTCTCTAACTAGAAAATTTAAAGCATTCATTTTTTTTAACCAGCACATTAGTGAATGCACCAGCCAGAAATGTGTCAAGTACAAGAAGAATCATACTAATGATGTGTCCCCCTTAGGCTTGGACATAAAAAGAAAACAATATTATTGCCAGCTTCCCACCAGTAAGAGGTGCACTGTACAGTATACGTTATTGCTTAGCCTTAGCCTGATGTATCACTTGAGTGCACTGTGAGAAAATGGGAAGGATGGAACTACCGTAAAGGGATAATAAGCAAGATTCAGTGGGTCTATGACTTATAGTGGACACAATTGCAAAGCTTCACCAATCACCAATTACAAGGCTTTCAGGTGGATATATTCTACCACATCTCGGTTACCTTCAAGAAAAGTTGGCCCGGGTGACCTAATGTAGTAAAAACCAGGACAGGTTTACCCAACAGAGAAAATGGAAAGAATGGTTACAGGTAAATAGTAATTACATAAAGTAGATTAAATGGATTTTTGCACCTTAGTAGAATAAGGATTACTAACCATGGGAAAATAGATTAAGAAATTTCCAGAAGTGTAAATGCTGATAGAATGGTTATCAGGTAATTTGTAGTTTGTTGGGAGAAATGAATGTTTGTCAACAGAAGCAAAAATGACTGCCTACAAGAGCTTCTGTCTATTTTGTTATATGGGAGCGAGAGCTCTGTATGCCAAGAGAAATGGAATAGTAGTTAAATCAGTGAGAATTTAAGAAGGGTGTGTAAGAGGAGATAACATCAAGAGTATCTGGATGCCGAACATAGAAACCAGTAACCAGTACAAACGTTTTGTTTTAGAGAGAGTGAATGAGAACCATTTGCAAAGAAAGAGGGAAGGGGTTGGGGGAAAAAAAGGTGGAAAACTGGGAAAGTGGTGGTTGTTTGGAGTTGGTAAGATTTGGAAAAAGTCTATAGAGATTCTCAGTCATCCAAGTCATAGTTGTCCCAAAATTGCTTTTCAAAAATTGAATTGCTTGTTTTTTCTTTGAAGACACTTTGCTTCTCATCCAAGAAGCTTCTTCAGCTCTGACTGGATGGTGGGGAACGGAAGGATTTATATTCCTTGCAGACAGCTGGACATTTGCATCCTTTTAGAGGGTCCAGTGAAGCACTTGGGGGAGGGGTTCTCTGTATCCTCAGGGTTAGGGTTAGTGAATGGTGCTAATGGTTCCTGTAGTCTGCAATCTTTTTTTCCCCTGGAAATTCATTCCTACTCCCACACCATTCAAATAGTGTTCATCCCAAATTGTATAGCTAAAAGTCTGTCATCCAGGTCCTGGTTATCCCCAAGGGTGCTTTTTCAAGAGGCAACTGGACTTTTCTGGTTTTTTCTTTGAGGAGGTTTTGCTTCTCATCCAAGAAGCTTCTTCAGCTCTAACCGGAGGGTGGGGAATGAATTTACATTAAGTGTCATACCTTGTGATTCTTGACTCCTGACAAACATATCTTTTTTTTTTTATGTACACTGAGAGCATTTGCACCAAGACAAGTTCATTGTGTGTCCAATCACACTTGGCCAATAAAAGAATTCTATTCTATTCTGGTCTGTTCTATTCTATTTCTATTCAGTGTTGCACCTTAATGATTCTTGACTCTTGAC